TGCTTTGTACGTCAAAATTAAATTTAAAAAACTCAAACCATTATAATGTGACAAAACTTTTTTTTTGTTGTTTTTTTAAAAATAGTAGAGGGTTTTATGGCGCTCGCAACTGCATAAGGTCATATGAGCGCCAAAACTTGTGTTTGAGTAGCTAAGTGGTTGGTTTAGACTTAAGTAATGTCAAGCAAGTATCGGTGACACTGGGATCAGATGGGTGGTCACTTATGTGTGTCCTTGAGCAAGACACGACAACCCTAGCTCAGAATACAGGGCGGTGCACAGTGGTTACCGACAGTGGCATGGTTTTCGACTGTTCTGTATTTGTGTAATATTGTGTATTTATATGTATTTATCCATGTCTTTATGTATGTTACATATAAATTATAATTATGTATTTATGTATGTATATTTGCCATTGTAAACCAAAGTGCCCGTCTGGGACAAATAAAAGTATAATTTATTCTATTTATTTTTATTTATGTTTAGGCAGAGACAACAGTAAAAGAGAAAGACTCATTCATGATTATAGTTTAAAGTATATTATATAGGTATACAACCATGTAATTTTTCATAGTAATAGTTTCATACCTCAGAAGTCAAAACTGACATCTGCATTAATAGCAATTGCAATGAAAAATAATTTTTTGTCCAAATTGCTTTAAAACAAGCTTACATGAAAGAGGAATGGACTCTGAGAACTGCGATTTGTAGATTTAAAAAATCCATTGATAATTAAACAAGTAATTGAGACTTTTTTTGGGGCTCAATTTTGGGGGACCGCAGTTATAGGAAATATTGCCAATAAGTGGGACAAATTTGATGTATTTTGAGGGAAAACTGTTTATAAGTAATGAATTGGAGTATATGAATGAAGCTAGATAATTTCATGTTATTTTTAGTGCAAAATCGAGTTCTGCTATCAATTTTTCAATGCCTGTATTACTTTGGATATTTAACACTAATATTTTCGTGAAATTTTGTTTAATTGCACGACATCGATTAAACTGCTATCGAAAAGGAGAAATACAGGCTTACAAGGCAGGTTCAAACATGACAAAACTTCATAAGTTTTCATTACATCTTTACTTAACTCATACGCTACGCCGAGCCGTGGGGGGCGGCGCGGCTAAAGTGCCGTCAGAACGCTAAGCCGCCCCCGGCGGCTCGAGAACAAATTTTCAATTTTAGCTTAGATTCTATTCCAATCCACATATCCATGTTAAAATAAAGGTCATAATATAATGTTGACTTCCGGGTCAAGCATATCCACTGAAAATCGGAAATTTAGATTTAGATTTGAAACGCGATTTCGTAGTTTATTCGACTTTGTTTTATCGGGATGCCAAAATTATAGCCGAGACACCAGTCTTAGTAATTTTACACAACAAAATCTATCATTATTTTGCTCACTAAAGAAATGTAGGACTCTTTTTTATAATATTTATACGATTGGACTCATATTGCCAATGCACTGTTATTGAGAAATCAATATTTTTGAGTGCTAGATCTAGGTCTAGATCTAGATCTAAATTGTCAAAATATTTTTTTCTCCCCAAAATCACTACTTTTTTATGAAATTACACAAAAAGTGCCACTCAAGACATGTATATGTTTATTCCAAATGCAATTCTGAATAATTCCATATAAGATACGAGTGGTGTTTTTTCTGTTTGTGATCGTTTTTCAAGATTATAAAAATTTTTTTTTTTCAATATCGGATGTTATGTTCAAAATGCACAAATATTATGGAATGTAGGTAAATAACTGCAAACTTTTCAATATTTTCCAGTTCTATATTCATCTATGTTTTTTTTTAATGTATCATTTGACTAGGTGCAAACATATTTTTTGAGTTTCACCAAAGATTATTAATTTTTTATTTTCAAATTTTATCTTCATCCAATCAAAATTGTGTTGCATAATCGGCTCTTACAGGAACCAAAGTTGAAAAATACATAAATAAACATTACAGATTAATTCTACAAACCATACTGAAAATATTGGTATATAATACGTTGATATTTATTTGAATTTGTGGCCCCAAAGACCTTTTAACTGCCCACTAGTCATCATCTCATTCGCCCTCCGAAAAAAAAAATTCGTCCACAAGCCGAAAATAATACATAGCGAAAGAGTTAACTCTTTAAACCCCATCATACGCCGGGAGCGTTCGGCAGTATTAACCCTGTTCCTCATCGGACGTCGGGAGCGTCCAGTACTTGTGACTCCTGTGTTTGTTTTATTTAGTGCTAGTTTTCGCTTGTTTATTGAAACTATTCCTGAACCAAGATTTTAGTAATGACCATGCCTTTGTAATTGTTTCCGCTATTTAGAAGTTGGAGGCAAGCTTTTGGGGTTATAATGAGACATAGTGCACTAGGTTTAGGTGACTAGGAAAAACTCCGGGAAACGGAAAAAAACTCATGGTTTAAAGAGTTAAAAACTCCTTTGGTCTAAATTTGAATATATTGGACAGGTATTATTTGAATTTTCTCCAGTTCTTACAGAAACGATTAAACTTTTATTTTAAAAGAATCAGCACTGTTCTCGGTTCATCTCCACTACAACTTACCAAAGCGATGAAGGGAAAACCGGCAATGGACTTAATGTGAACTAGATTTTAGTTAGTTTTAATCAGTCAATCACATGCTGCTTAATGATCACTCGCCTTTCGCATTCCAGCAGACTAGCTTGTTCTGTTTCTGACCCAATTACTGGCTCTAGTCTTTTATCGCTGTGTGGGTGGTGATTTTAAGTTGGTATGTGAAATATAGTACGCATAGGGATTTGAAATTTGACAGCAATAAAGATACATGGAGCACCTGTTTGGTCAATGACGATGACGCAACAGCTCCTCTAAGTTTTTGAAAAATGGAAGAAAATCCCAGTTTCTCCAGTTCTAGGAACCTGTTGGTATAGTACGCTCGCTTGTTGTAAGTTTCGCCTTTCTTCTGATTAGTTGCTGTTTCATACTTTTTTGTCCCAGGGTTTTTTTGTAACTGTGCAGGGCAGTCCCTGATCCCGACCGGCCCCAAAAAGTACGCCTCGGGGCAGCAGGCCAATGAAATTTGCTAATCTACATAAGGATACTTTCGCACTTCAAATGTGCTCCTGCACCCTCGCACAGTAATTTGCACTGAGAGAAACATTCAATTCAGTTCGACAAAGTGACATTTTCCGAAAGCCATTGGATGATTTGAATACTTGAATGTAGAACAGGGGTCTTCAGAAGACGGGGTGCTCCATGCTGTCTCACCCCTCTTCATAAGGGTCCATTTCAGTGAGGGCAGGCTGATTGTCTGCCTCATCAGATGTAAAATGGATTAAATTTTAATTTTGCTTAGTACTGTATGATACTTTTTAGGCATTCTACAGAGTATAACATTCTTTTATAGTGCTCAGTAACGTATTATTCTTTTGTTGGTGGAACTAAAGTAAAGTATTGGAAGTATTTTCCTTTTGTGTCCTTATCCATTAGAGATGGACTCAAGGTACTTGTTTTGAGTTCCAGAATAGTAAATGCTTAAAATTTTCTTTCAGGTTTTGACTCCGTGCTCCTTGGAAATTTACTTTTGCTGTTTTTTAAACTCTGTAAAATTGTTGTCTACATTGTTGGTTCTTGAAATTCTTGATGCATTCCTGTTTCTTACAACATCTGTACACTGTGATGCTTTGGATTTTAATAAGATTCTAATGATCAGAAATGATGAAGAGGAGATTGGTAGCTATATAATAGATAACCTTTTGCAATCAAGGGAAAATGATCTTTCAAATCAACTGGTGCGAGCTGGATGAGATTGGTAGTAAATAAACAGTCGTCAATCAAACAGTTAAAATAGTTTAAACGTATATATGGTATGTATACATATATTATATAATACAATACATATTGGAAATAGTCGCACTCTTCTTGTCCCCTTATGGTATGATGTGTGTATGCAATTAGACCGTGATATAAAAGAGATCATTGCACGATGGTGATCCAGACTAACTCATTACTTAAAAGTGACTTGGAAACACTGTGATCTGATGTCAACATGTCTAGTTATTTTAGATAGTCACTAAAGATAAAATGCGCTCATCAAACATAATGAAGACTTTGATATGATCTGGTATCTTACCATATTGGTGTGGTTAAGTTCTTTGCCTGTCTACTTACATCATATGATTACACACATTCCTGTAGAAGTCAGTGCACCCGACTAACAAGAAGAAAGTGATCACAGGTGTGAACAGATATTCATGTTAAAAGCTTAACAGAATTTGAATATTGAGAAATGTGAGGCAACGTGGTGGAATCAGGCTCTCGTCAATTTTTGGGCATGTAGAGTTATTGTTACATCTTAAAGCTTTTTCACTTTCCTTCATTTGGATGAAAACAATATCCAATTATCTTGAATACAAGTTGAGATATTTATGAAAAAAGGAGGTTGGGGTCACCTGTTTTCAGAGGTAAAATTAGTGAGAAAATGGCCGCCAAAGATTAGTTATTTCCTTAGCTTAAGAGCCTGTGGTACCTGAAAATTTACTTTTTTTGTGCCTTTAATCAACGTTTTTCATGAAAATCCACACAGAAATGATTTCTTTAATGGTCATGAAAGGTGTTGAGCCAAAAAACACAAATTTGATAAAAATGCACAAACCTATGGAAAAATGCAAGTTTGTCCACTTTGATTATTTTGACGAGAGCCTGATTCCACCACGCTGCCTCACAAATATGGGAGGTCTCCTTCGAGCTGTGTCATGTAAAATTGGGGTCTTATGAGTAGTTTATAAAAAGTTTTGCTTCTTAAGAAATAAGGAATAGGATATACTGTGAACAGGGTTTGTAGGAAATGGGATGTTTGGTATAGACTTGTTTTGTTATGAGGGTACAAACAACTCTCAGTTTTGGCTTTATAGAATAGTTTAAAAGATGTACCGAAGACTTTTTAATATCACAGTTTTCTGATTTTTACAGGGGACTTTGTTCTAAAAACTTCTTATGTTGTGCATTTCAGAGATGTTTGATGCCTGATGAGTTAACTTCTGCTGTGTTGAGAAAGAAGCTCAAAGTGACCCAAGTGATGGCTGAGGGGGGCGACATGGCGGGGAGCTCCAGCACGGACGTGTTCCGTATGGAGGAGCGTCCGGAGCATGGCATGAAGGTCCTACAAGGACTCAACAAACTGAAGCAAGATGGAATCCTGTGTGACGTGACACTAATCGCTGAAGGTAAGTTGCCATATCTAGCTCCGGTAGTAATACATACAGTTTTTTAAGCCTCTAGTCTAATTGTTTCACGTGGATGAAAATTGTATGTCATAAATTGGAGAAAGTAACAGAAAACATGACTGTTTTGGTTGTAGTTGAGAAATTTGTTGACCAGCGGTATGGATAGTTATCACAGTTAGTGCAGTAAGTAATTTTAAACAGATTAGTGTGCCGAAAATTTCATTGTTTGTTATCAGATATTTCTTAATAAATTGTTTCACCCATGTTATTAGTTGTTACTTTTTTCTTCTGTCTCAGGCACTCGTTTCAATTGTCACCGGGTTATCCTGGTTTCCTGCTCTGACTACTTCCTGTCCATGTTCACGAGTGGTATGCGCGAGTGCAACCAGAAGGAGATAGAGCTGAAGGGCATCACAGCCAAAGGTTTGGAGAAAGTGATCGAGGTTGTGTATACCTCCACTACCACTCTAGAAGGTATGACTTTTGCCAGGTTTGCTTGTCTCTCTCTACGCATTTAATTTGACATTGGTGCCAGACGTTACTTCAATTGAAATTCACTGTTGTGCTTGAAACATAGCTGTGGGGTAGTTTCCTTACCTACAAATGATAAGAGGGGGTGGTATTATGGTTACGTTTAGTAAAGTTTGTATGGAGTTTCACCATTCAAGAAGATATGAGTTTTAGCTGGTTTGTTTGTCTCTCTTTATTTGCGAGCTTATTTTAGCTTTAGACTGTGATTCTTTACTGTATTTACAAAATGACAATGGGGTAGTTTTTCAGGTTCAAATGATTGATGGGCAGCTTTTAATATTGACCTACTTGATAAGAAAACCTGTAAATTGTAAAGAAATTGTTGCTTAAAGAGTTTTAAGCAGTGTTCTGTGGTACACCACAATGCAGGATGCTAGTGGGGGGCTTCTGTGCGGTTTGCTTATTCTACTTTTTACAGTGTTTTAATTAATTTCTATCTGTTCTTGTCGGAAGATGGTTATTGGTGTGGTAACTCTTCATAGGTCTACACAACCTCTGTGATGAATTATCAGCCTTCTGATTGAAGGTCCTAAGGACTTCGAGCTACCTTATTCAGAGAGTGCAAATATTGTCTCACTCTTGATAGGGGCTTTTACACAAAGGAACCCTGTTCAAAGATATTGTCATTGTGTCGGGTATTGTATAAGAAATTTACCTTTTGACTTTTTATTTAACCCTTTGAGACCAAGCCACTTTGCCCTGCCTGGGCTCTTGGGCCCTTTTTGCTACAAATCACATCACACAGTACAGAGGACTTGTAAGACAGAATGTTGGAACACATGGTAACTATATTGACATAAAAATGAAAATTGGATATCTTCTAGTGCCAGAAATTCTTTTTGAAGTGCCAGTCCATTCAATATGTGGAGCCTCTTTTGATGCAGAAGTGGCGCGTGCATTCAGTGCTCACCACTTCCGAGAAGCCTGTTGTAGCCGTCTTGATATCAACATCATTTGTATAGCAGTCTTTGTGGTATAGTAGTCTCCGCCTATACGCACGCCATACAAAAGCACGCTCCGCTCAAACGCACGCTTTGGTCATCTGACGGGTTTTTTACTATATAATTTAGACGTACAAACGCACGGTCACTCCCTCTAAACGCACGCTCCGATCCCCGAAACACGCCGACAAGTTAACCTTTAAAACCCTGAATTCTTTTTTTTCATACCTCCCTAGAATCCTGAATTAAAATTGAGATACTAGAAAAAATTAGGTTGGTTCATTGTTTTGTTTACTGTGTCTTTAATTGTTGTTAGATTTTACTGAAGTTTGAAAATGTTATTTATATATAAATGCACAGTCTGGACAAAAGGGGAAAAGGTTAAAACATTGGTTTTTAGGACCAACTCTATGAGTTAAGTCTTGAGTGTGATCCCCGACTCCACTTCAGTCAAAGTATCATTAGACCCAGCCGTAGATCTAGCCTCTGGTAGCTTTAGTGGTGATCCCCTGCCAATTCCACTATCGTCAAAATCATCATCGATGTTATGCGGAACATAGCAATCGTCTTCAACGGTCATATTTATCGATATATCCGACTGGGAGATCATTATTGGGGTCTGATAAGGATTAAAAAATGTCAAAAATTTTGCGGCCTGACGGGCCTGGCACCGAAAAGTGACTAATTTTTCTTAAAAACTTGCAAAATTTCCAAACTTTCGGTGTAGAACTGCTCTCATGACATTATCGGTACTTTCTGCTCGCGACAGAGTCATCTGGAGTTACATCCCCTGTTTCTAGCACTGGTAATTAAACGATAAAGTTGACCAGCGGTTACCAGCGGTATAGGAAAATACGGCATCAGCGGTTACCAGCGGTATAGGGTTTTAAGGGTTAAGTTTGGCAAGGGGAAATTTTCACGACAACCTGCACTGCCTGCATAAGACAAGCCTAGAATTTACTAGAAGACCGGGTATTTGGTGAGAGTGCCCCTCACGCCGTACAAAGAGAATGATGGACAGCGTTTACACACTCTACTTTCCACTGACGCATAGGTCTCGGTCGAGGGCTGGTCGGTTAAATGTTGGGGGGGGGGGGGGGACTGAAATGTTTTTTGATTGGTCACTGGAAATGAATCTTTGAGAGAAGGTTTCTGACTGGTGTTTGAGTTTGAGTGACTGCATGTAATGTTTAATTAGATCTAGGCCTGATGCGCGAAATGCGTAAATGCCGTAAAACACTAGACAGGCCTCTATAGGATTAAAGATTAGCCAAGTAAGCCTAATAAGCTGCGAAGAACTTATAACGTACTTGTTCAACGAATCACAAGACAAAACGTTTCTCGAGGATGATTCTGCATTAATTTACGGTCGGGGGTTGTCGCTTGGAAAGCCACGTGGCTAGTCCGTCCTCTCTGTGACTATGACCAACACTTTCCTCTTAGGCTATCTGTTCCCGACGTTAATAGTGCATATTCATTATTTTGAGTTTGTCCCCCCCATTCATCAACGCCTTTGTATTCTTAACCCTTGTCGGGGAATCCTTCACAAAACAGTCACGTGTCGTCGCATTATCGACTAAAATTACCCCCTGCTCCACCAAGGGAGGTCACTAGAATATCAAGGCAATGAGATGACTGCGTCCCTTCCTCCCTTTGCAAAGGTTCATGTAAACGCACGCTCCGTATAAACACACGCTCAGGAGCCCTCCCGAGCACCGTGCATTTAGGCGGAGACTAATGTACTAAGGTTTTATAACTGTTCACTCTATGTGAAGTCTCAGTGTAATGAAGGTCTTAGTTTCTCCTTCTGAGATGTCTTTGAAGATTTTTGCAGTCGTATTTGTTTGAAGTGGCAGCCCTTGACTGTGGAGCATGTTGGTTTGTTCAGCTAAATTTGACAAAAATTCACAATCAAGAAATGTACTGTTGAAATGAATTAGGTACCCTGTTGTATAAAAGCTGGAATCCACTGTCTGATTCCATTCGGGAAGAGGCGATGTTCCTGTTGTAGTTGAGTGGCAAAATGTGCCCGTGCTAGCCTGAGTATTACCCGGCGGGACACACCCTCTCTGAATCAAACGCCTAGGCCCCGGAATGTCAGCACTTGCTGTGGGCCTGAATCTAGAACCACTTTCATCCTCTGAATCGCTATCATCTGTGACTTCTTCCATGTCACTGGCGAGGTAATCTTCATCATTTCCATACCCTAACTCAAAGAAATATGCGCCTGATTCTCAATAATTTCTTCTGCTGTTGGTTTTTAACACAAATGTACTGTCCTGGAGTTAATGCATTGTGGACGTGATCGTTTCATATGAATATACCCACAAATGTGAGACATCATGGCGGAATCAGGTGCTCGTCAAAATAATGAAATTTAAGAAACCAGCATTTCCCCACTGTTTTAGCAATTTCTTTCGAATTGTTGGTTTTTGGCTCAACTGTCTTTTTATGTCCATTTAAAAGCACATTTTTGTGTGAATCTTACTGAAAAATGTTTGTGAAAGGCATGAAAAGCACAAAAAATGTAAATTTTCAGTTTCCAAGGATCTCAAGCTATAGAAGTCACCGAACCTTGTCGGCCATTTCCATTGAAAATGAGACAAATGAACAAACTTTAAGATGATGCCAATATCTCCATATACTGAAAATTGACGAGTGCCTGATTCCACTGCCTCATGACAAATATCCATAGAGAGCACACTGTTGAACCATTCATGAACGTGTCAGTGCCTTGAACTCTTCTTCAATAAAACAAGCTCCCACCCCGACAGGCTATAACACTTGCATCCCATAATTTGGGGTATTTTCTGCCAAGTTTGCTTTGATTTTTTTGTGAAGTATAGTCACAATGCTGTACTTTTCTTGCGGTAGAGCACAGAACAAGCCTGCAAACTGTTGTACCGGTCGCGTGGTAACAAAGGGTTAATGGGATAATTGGGTTAATCTTGTGTGGCTTGGCTCTTTTTATGACATATCAAGTGGCTTATGATTTTTTTTTTTGTGAAGGTCAAAAGCATTTTGCTCATTGAAAAAGGTAGGGTGAAAACGTGACAGGAGTGGCCCATCTCTAGTAGTAAGCCCCACTGCATGTTTCATGATATAAAGTGAATCATCAAAACTGGGGGAAGTTTCTTGCCATTTTGTAACTGCCTTCATATTGTTTCTGATAAATTATGGCAGTGAGCTATTGATGAGAGAATACCAAATATTTCTGGTAATCCTGATGCAGTTGAGAAGCTAGAGGGAATGGTTTTTGTTTTTTGTACTTGATTTATATCCTTTTTGTAGGTTTCGAAAAAAGTTCTTAGCTCTTATTTTATTATTTGTTTTGGCAAATGTTTTCACGATCCCTATCAAGGTAATCTAGATAATAATTTTCTGTGTTTGTGACTCTCAGGTGATGATATCTTTGATGTGATTGCTGCTGCCACCCACTTGCAAGTGACTCCTGTGATTGAGTTCTGCGAGAGGAACTTTTTGAGTGGCATGAACACTTCCAACTTTTATGACTTTATCAACACAGCCAAGCTGTACAGCATGCACAACGCACTGAAGCAGATCGATGTCTTCATCGCCCGCAATCTCATGCAGATTGCCAAGGAGAACACTCTGAACCTGCTGACCTTCGAGCAGATGGTGAGCTGTCTGAACAGTGACAAGCTCTGTTTCAGAGAGATGGACATTTTCCACATCACTTGGGAGTGGCTGCGCATGGATGCAAAGCGTCTGTGCAACGCCCCTGTGCTGATGAAGCTCATCCGGTTCCCTCTGATCAACCCGGCCGACCTGGTTCACCAGGTGCAGCGTGTAGAGCTCATGATGAGCAGCCCGGAGCTGCGGCAGATGGTTCTGACAGCCCTCAACTACCACGTGGTGCCGCATTCGCAGCCACTGCTCAACACCTCATCCACTCGGCTACGTTCCTTCGTGGAGCGGCTGGTGAGTGTGGGGGGCCGGGAAATCCACCCCAACCCGTGCCTCCACGACGAGCTGCTGGTGTTTGACTCCCGCATCACTTCCAGCAGCCTGCTGAACCGCCAAGAGATCGCCACGCTGCCCAGCGCCCTCAGCCACATGCAGGTGCTGGTTTACAACAATTTTCTATATGTGCTGGGAGGTTGCACCACGCAGTGCGCACATGGGGAGTCGGCCGTCAACTCGGTGCTGCGCTATGACTCACGGTTTGACACATGGTTCCAGGTGTGCCCCATGCTGAACAAAAGAGCTTACTTCTTCGCCGGTGCCCTGAACAATAGGATTTACTCTGTGGGCGGCAAGTTCAAGGATGGTAGTCTGGCCACTGCGGAATGCTACGACCCGGCAGAGAATACGTGGGAGTTAATCTCGTCCATGCCCATGTCCTACCATGCGCACGCCGGTGCCACCTATGGCAGCCACATCTTCATCTCTGGTGGCTACTCGGGCAACCACTTCACTCCAGACATGCAGCGCTATGATCCGACCAGCAACCAGTGGGAGGACATGGCTCCCATGTTAACACCCCGCGGCTGGCACGTCATGTGCGCCTCCCACGACAAACTTTTTGTATTTGGAGGCTGCAACCTGAATGTGAACCAACAAGCTCAGCCTGTGATGCAGTCCGAGTGCTACGACCCGGCCACTGACCAGTGGACCATTGTAGCCCCCTTGTCCATTTCCCATAAAGAGGCTTCATGTGTGGTGTACCGTGACCATATCTACGTCCTGGGAGGCTACAATGTGCAGACAAAGACGGGCCAGAAACTGGTCAGTAAGTATGATGTCTACACAGGAATCTGGGAGACGGTGGGAGCCTTGCCCCGTAGCCTGACGGGGGTGGGGTACTGCACCATACGCCTGCCATCGTACGACCCTGATGAACTCCAAGCTGAGACAGACTAGCCCTGCAGGCATTAAAAAATGGACGGTACTAATGTGTGACACTTTTTCTTGGGAAGGAGGAAGGTAGGTGGCAGAAAAACTGGGGTACTGGACTGTCGGCTGAATGGCTCCCGAGATGATGCTACAACTGGTGTTGTCTACCCGAGGGTTGCTGATGGTGTCGTCTGCGTCTCCGACTGTGTACTCCGACACTTTTGTCTCTCATAGCTGGCCGTGTGATCCTCCCCTTTCCACCCCGCACACTAGCCACGAGCATAATATCACTATTTGAAGTTGCTGTGGGACCCCACATCTACCCGTAACATCTGTGAAACAGGGCTAAAGTAAAGAACTGCTCCCCACCTCTCCTCAAACTGGCTATTGACACTCTTATCATTTTGAAATCAATAAGTGATGAATAGAGAGGAGAGGAGTCAGAAGTATGCAATATTGCACAGATATGGAGGGGGGGCGGGGATCTGTTCATTACTTTAGCATAACATTTCAAAGGTAGGGGCGTGGGAACTGGAGAAAGGTCTGCCTCCTGAGCCCCTTCCTGCCATCCATGTCATTCAGTTTGACTTTCTTTATGGATCATCCTAAAAAGAACGGAGGTACACGTACATGTGATGATACTCTTCCTACAGAATTGTGCAACAGGGATATGTGATATGTGCCAGAAGTTTGCATTATTGTGCAGTTCTAAAAAAAAAACTCTGACTAGGACTGATGTATCATCAGCTGACGTGTGTGATAGGGGAAGAAGGCATCTGCAAAGTCGTGATTGATACGCCTGTCTTGCATGCTATGATAGTGGATGTTTTTGTGTGGTCTGGTGCTGGTTGTTTGGGTAAGAAGATCTGTGTTTGGATGAGGATGAAGATATTGATGAATAAATGTGTAATGACTTCAGCGGTTGATTGTTGAGTATGTGTTTGTCTATTTGAGGTATTGGTGAGAACATGGAACACTGCTGAAAAGTGTCCACTGGTACGTTGTGTAACTTCAGGGTTTCTCTTGGTTTTAACTGATAACTGACAGAACACAAAAAAAACAGATTGATCAGGATTATAAAGATTTATATCTTGTATAAAATGGAGAGGGTGGGGTTGTAAGATGTTCATATGCTGTCTTGTTCCTTTATGATGTTGAGTTGGCCTAAAAAAATATTGTGCTATCATTTTATAGCTTCCATGGAATGGTATTGAGATTATTAACTTAGCAATTTAGTTTTAAATTTTCTTATTGTTTCCATTCTTTTATTGTGTTTCCCTGTAAGCACCTTTTTTAGAATATGTAGTTGGGCAGGGGCACATCAGTATTAACAACTTGCAAAGAACATAGTGAATCTGGTAAAATGACACTTGAAACTGCATTTGATTGTAAACTCTCTATTCTTAACAGCATGCTTTTTGTTGAACAGATTCCTTTATAATATAGACACTGTCACTGATTTTGATTTGGAATTTCATCTTTTTCTTGCATGTCCAAAAGAGGGGTGTTTGATCATGTAGCTCTGAACTGGAGGTAATGATTTCGGTAATTTATCAGCGCCATTCCACTATCGCCCAAATCAATTTCTATGGGTTTCCTTTCCAATAAAGGTATAAATAGGCGTCTTGCAATAAAGTTTTGCTTTGTTTTGTTATTTCCTTAGTAGTTTTTAAGTGAAAAATGGCTAGTGCCCAGGTCAAGTAGGAGATTTTGGCTATCTTTTTCTTTGATTTTCTCAAAACTTCAAAATTTTTTTACATGGGAACCTGTGGAATGATGCTGATGATTTGTAGCTTTTGTATGGCTTTGTATAGTGGGTTGAACACACAGGAACTGATGTTTTTAGTGGCCTTATGACGCATCTCTATGAAAAGAAACTGTTAAACACGCCGGCATAAAACACATTTCGGAATCAAGCATGCTAAACGGCTCTTACCGAATTTTTGAAATGTAAATTACATGCCTTTAAGCACTGTTAACTTTGGCCTCAGGCATGCGTCATTTACAAGACAGTCAATACTTTCATGATGACTCATCGACGTTCGAACACCGTCTACACTGCAGCAGTGAGTATGTTAAGAGAAACAGAAAGAACGCAAGTGATGGAGACATACACACACACACAAACACACACACACACACACACACACACACACACACACACACACGTGCAGAGAGGAAGGCAGAGAGATGCACACAGCCGTGAACGTAGACATGGATCTAGCCTAGGGCAAAGCTACACACAGACTAAAAAATACAAAAGAGAGTCGGGGAGACGAGAAAGTGAGGCTGGCTGCAATTTCACCTTTGTCCCTCGCTATCAGTTAATACCGATTATGTATCACACGCAAGGTGGGGTGAAGGCGGTGGTGTGAATGTGGCACAGCGGACAGCAGTATGCACAGTCAGTGTGTAGGCCTTGTGTGCTGTATCGTGACTGGCTTTCTAAATTAAGTTTTCCTTTCCCATTCGACCACAAAACAAACAAACAAAAACTATCATTGCGGGTGAAATTGACAGCGCACACTTCAGCGCGACCACGACTTACGAAGGGAAATAAATCGGGAAATTTTCTACATGAAAATCTCTGGATCAAGTCTACTTTGCACTTAAGCATGTCTCGGCACTAAGCACGTTTATGCTTTCTCCCGATGACCGTGCTTAAAGCCGGCATGGACTGTAGTACCTTGTGGCTGGCTTGATTTTTACTTTATTGAAGATAGGTTGCTGGGTTTTTTTTAAGTTTAAAGAAAAATTTAATTGAGATTAGATTTTTTTTAGGCAGTGACATTGTATGAAAATTTTAGCCATCAGGAACAATTTCTTGTATAAAATTTAAACATAAAAGATGAAATATAGATAGCAGTGAGAAGAAAATTAGGATCCCTCGTTGTTGTGCTTGAGATTGCTGTATTAGTGCAGACCAGAAGGTTCTATGAGTTTTATGTCTATGTTTCTACTGTATGTTTCAGCTGTTGTCAGGCTCTGTACCTTATTTAGTTCATGGTTTGTAAGATCTGCAAATGGATGGCATCTATTGAGTTCAGCTGGGGTTTTTTTTTCCACTAAAGACAAAGACAGCACTTTTTTTTAGGGACCTTGTATTTCCGTCACAGTCTGTACATTTTAATTGAGAAGTAATTTTTTAGGGTTGTTTTGCTGTAAGATCCATCTTCTGAATTTTTAATTTACTAATGGATGCTGAATTATATTTCAGTTATAGTCCCGTTTTTGCCGATCATTTAGGAGGTAAGCTGTTTTGACCAACACAGGGCCAAGTTTGCCCATGTGGGAATATTTTTCCTTACAAAGGAGGAGGTACTGTTGAAAATATCTTCAACAAGTGGGGTTTAATTGAACTCGCGTCTTTTAGTGTATAGGGATGGGAGCACGGTTTTCAGTGTTATATTCTCTTTCCTCTTATGCTTTTGTCTTGAAATCGATGGGTAGCGTTATAATTATTCTTTAAGGGCCATTGAGACACTCACACTCTTGACAAAGTTGTGATGCATTTTCCTCTTACTGGGCTTGTCTGTGATAAATGCTACTATAACATCATGTAGATTGAATGGGGGAAAAACTCATAATAGTCTTAATTTTCAGGGAGTGATTTATATATGTAACATATTTTAAAAACTTTTTGGGTTCACATTATTTCCTGCCCTCAAAGGGAATTGTTCTCATCTTTTATAGGGTCTATAGAACAAAAATGGTTTATTGATTTTAAGTATAAGATTTTACTGTTACTACTACTTATAATGATTGAAAGATTATGTAATTGTGTTTCAGCAATGAATCACAGGCTGAAGGGTTTGAAGTCGGAGTCAGATGGCTAGTGTACCTGAACTAAAAAGTAGATTAAAGTTAAATAGGGCTAGGGCAGGCTGTTTTAGTGTTTAAATCAAAGAATGTGAGTGTATGCTGATGCAACTCAAAGCAGATGTTTGAAGACAGGTCATTGTTGAGGGAGTGAATGAAGTGATCTGAGCGCCTACAACCAAAGACAAAAATTAAATTGAAAGAATCTTGGAGGCAATGGTAAGAAGAATATCAGTGTCGCACAAGATGTGGTATACACTATGTTTGTGGGCATGATAATTATAATGAATGTTAGTGTGCATAAGGAGGGTTTTATGGCTTAAATATAAGTGTATGTATGTGTGTTCCCATGGTTCTGTATATATTTGTTTATATGTGTGAGAAAGCGAAGGTTGGTGCTATGAAATGAGACAACAAGCATTCAGTTGTGAGTCTATGAATTGATCTCCAAGACTTTCTTGTGTGTATCAGTTTGGGTGTTTGTTTGCTTCTACCATTGTTGTGTGTGTTTTGCCATGATTTTTTTAAATATTATGCAATGATCGGGGGGTCCTTTCTTTCCTGTTCATCTCAACTTTTGTGCCCCATGATAAGGGGACGGGTATGTCAGTGATTTGTTGTATGTGTGTGTTTGTGAAAGGGTCCCCCTCTTTCTGTGCCATGATTGTGAGAAATAACGGAGCAGTCCTACAGATTTGTATCGTTGTGAGATGCAGAGAGAGTTATGTAGAAGCTGGTCGTACATGGGCAAATGGATTTAGACCTATATATGAATATGTCATGAATATGTCAATGTCATTTTTTCTGAAATGGCTAAAGCTCATGAGCTGAGCCCTATGTTTGAGTGGCCTGACTGATGGCATGTTTAGTCGTGTCCAGTTCGGTTAAGGAAAATGTTTCAATCTCTTGGATCTTCCAGGGCTTTTGAGAGTATCGCGTCTCAGAAAATATTTTTGGAAAAATGTGTGAAGCAATTCTACGTGTTTTTGTAATTTATTTATGACTAGTAGTGGGAAGAAGCCAGAATAAGTATAGGTTAAAGGATAAAGAGAATGACACTTGGTTTAGTGAGAATGTTAGTTCCAACTCTTGGCGTTCGACGTATGTGTGTGCAACCGTCATGGGGGTTGATTAGCTAAAGGACATACACTGTTTTCCCTTTGTGTGGGTTGTTGTGTAGTTCAGGTTCAGTTAATGTAAACATGTTGTCTATGTGTGGGGATAACAACACGTTAGGTTTGCAGTGTGAGCTTCTTCTGACACACACTCACTCACAGTTCGTGGTTGGTGGGTGCTCTGGTGTGGTTTGCTCCTTCTTTCCTATCAAACATTTGTCGTCCTTATCTCTCCTCCTTCTTTGTTTGGTTCGTTACTCTCTTGTAACACCTCTAAACTTCGGGACTTATATATGGCTTTATTGTGTTGCAAGTGCCGTAAAACTCTTACTAAAACTTTTAAAAAACCACACTCATACACACACACACACACACACACGTACACCTCTAATGTAGCAGCTGTGATAATGTTTCAGGCTTTAGACTATTGCTGCAGCAGTATCTCATCTTCTAGTTACAAAATTACTAAATGGAAAAGAACAGAGAAGAATCTACAGCTGAAAGTTGCGAAATGTAATGTGGTAAATGAATGGATGAATATTTATCAGCCTCATGTTTAGGAAAAAGGGAGTAGGAAAATTACATTAGGGAAAAGACAGCATGACTTCTCACAACATTTTTGGGGGGATAAAATTACTTTTATAAACAGTTGTGATAAAGGTAATGAGTGATTGGAAACAAAATATTGCTGAAGGTTTATAGAGGGTGTAGCTAGCAAGTCCTTTTGTAGATGTTTGGCAGGTCCTCTGGTGTGGTTTTTTCCCTCTTTCTGATAGGACATCTATCTTCCTTAACTTACCTCCTTTTCTTTGTTTCTTACTCTCGGGTAAGACCTCTAATCTTTGGCATTTGTATGACCTATTAGTATTGTAAGTATTGTAAAACTCTCACTAAAACTTAACCAGTCCTTTCAACTTATTATTGATTTCTTCCCCCCCCCCCCCCCCCCTTGACAGTGTGCATTGTATTTGTGTGCCTCTGTTTAAAACACAGCTGGGGGAGGGACACAAGGCTCTTGTACGTCACTGCATTGCACTGTTTGGTGAGGAATGGTCGTTGAAAGTTACTTCTTAAGTTCTTTTTTTTTTTCCTTTAAAAAATTGATTAAAACAAAATTGCAGACGAATTGTCAAACACCAGTGTTGACTCCTAAATATGATATGCGGTATTTCAAATTTGATACTGGGTGCTTGCTTTAACTTGATAAGACAAGAGTGGTCATGTACAGGTGGACATTTGAGGGATGGGGATAAACATCAAGCAACAATAAGAGTTGATATAAAGAACTTGTTTTGCTTTTGAGCCTGTTTCTTCCCAAGCCAATCTTTTCTGATCTTGATCAGTGTCAAGCAAGCTATGATGACCTTGATGATGTATATCCTACGTGTGTGACAGCATTTGTGTCTAGCATTGTTTTTGGCAGTGTGGCAGTGTTTGTGTCAGAGACTGACTGAACAGTGTCTGTTCTGTGACTAAAGACCTTTTGTTTTCCCAAGAAGGGTCACTCGGCTCTGATTATAAGGATGTGGAGGTGATGTTGGCAAAAGGATGAAGTGCTTCTCATTTTTCCTTTTTACTGAAGGCTGTGTTTTCCATTACTTCTCAGTAAAATTTCCCTCGCTTTCTCTCTCTCCTGCTCTCTTTGATGACATTCTGACGTCAAATCGTTGTTTTTATGCAGTTAGAAACAGCCACGTTGACCAACCGTAATTAAATCACCGTCTAATGCTATGACCCAGACATCTTTACTACCTTGCTCGTGTTTCCAAGGTGTGGATTCATCATCGACTTTTTTTAAATTGTAGAGACTACAGCTGACAATTACATGTGCGATACTGCTTGTTTTCCTGTGTGTTTTGCATCTAAACTGAAAACATTTTTATTCTTGTCAAACCTTCAGAAATATCAAAATAGTGTGTATCTTCTTGTGCGTGTTTTGTGCTTTTTAATTTTCCTCTCTGGAGACTTTTTTTTATGTGTCCGATGTCTTGTGGTGATTTTGAGAGTGTGCAGTGACATTTGATGCATTTTGAGGAACTGTATATGTCAATGTGTGTTCTCAGAGAAATCCTGATCTGATTTGGTCTGTTCTCTTTGGTTTGAGAGAGACCTTTAGGTATGCCTGATGGATCTAGTTTTAGTCATCAGAGTGTCGCTAGTTATAAGTCCTACTCAGGGCATTTCCAGGCTGTCATCAGTCTGAAACCAAATATTTGCATGTTTTTTTCCCTTTGCACATATGTGTTTTGTGGCTTACAATGGCAAGACAAGGTATATGGCGATGGTGTTAGGTGCAAAATATTCAAGTTTGAGACTCAAAATATTAATTTTTCTTGGATTAATATTTGTACCTTACTGATGTCTACTTCATGCGTAGATGTATGCTAATGAGGGAAGCGCATGAAGTCAGTTTTTGTATCTCTCAAATTCCATCGAGTAAAGCTGCAAGAAGTTGAGTGGCTTCAATGCAGATATTGAATCTTGGAAGCAATGGAATAGAGGCTCCCATATATTTATTTTCTTTCATTAAATGAGGCAAGTTGGGAGATAAATTCAGACCGGCTTCTTTATGCCTGCTGCGATATATATACATAATTATTGTCGGACTCTAGCTGTGTTTCTGCCAATTTAGGTTAAACGCTATTATTTTTGGACTCAAATAATGTTATTCACATCTGTAATTACTATTGATGATATGTGTAATACTGTATGTAAAGTGAACACTACTTACAATTTTGAGCAAAATCTGATAGATAATAAGAAAGAATTTTTATTTTTCTGAAAATCTGTGCCCAAACACAGTTAGAGTCGGACATTGACTATATATATAATACATACACACAGTAGTCTCCGCCTAAGATCCTATCGCTTACAGTCCCGGTTCGCTTAAGATCTCGCTGTTTTAGGAAAACAGAATTTTTTCTATCCAGAAGTCACCCCTAAAATCCCCCTCTGATTAACTCTGAAGGTCTACATTCGGCTAACATCCCGCATTTCAGATAATAATTTATGGAACAAAAACTCGGGTGGGCACAAAAGATCAACCAAAAGTGAAAATTTGCTATCATTGAACTGCCTCTCGTGTCACAGATCAGCCACTTTCTTGAATGTGATATTACGTCTGTTGTAAATCTCGATGAAATATGGTACAATGTTTGTTCCTGACACGATCACACCACTGTGTGAACACGCCGACGCGTTTGTTTTCCCCAAACACTGCACTCGCATCTGAGCTCTCCACCTTACCTTATATCACACGCTGGGTGGGTAGGGCCTTCAAGTTCGCTCCAGGTGAGATCACTTCCCTAAACATTGCAGCAGTTTTCCCTTTTCCGAATTTGCGAGACAGACTGAATTTTAAGGTCAAAACTCAATGGTGCATAACGACAAAGGCGGGGGAACTCTGTCGGAGATGGAAAGCTATTAATTTGGACAAGTGAAAAAGGGGGGGCGGGGGGAGCTACTGGATAAGTGTAGGTATTGAGACTCACGACCGATAAGTGAAAGTGGCATGTCTTATTATATTTCACTGTGATTGGTCATCACGGCTGACTACTCTTTGCTCGCCATAAGTCATAAACCCACCCAGGTGGGACGTAAGTTTATTTTAGAGTAAAGGGAGAACAGTTTACCAGTTGTGGACCTAAACGTGGGTCACCGTGGATTCTTCCCATGATGCATCAGCAAAGATCTCACATTTTCCTTGCTTCTGAACACCAGGCTCTTAGGCGGAGACTTTTTTATCTAACTGTGTGACTGGTTTCGTGAAAAGTTTTCAGAAAAACAAAACAAAACAAAAACCCTTCTGATTTATATGATGAGAGGGGAGAAAAGGGTTAGCCCACAATGAAGTTGAAATTGTCCAAGACGGCCACCCATTGTCAAGGAGAAAAATGGATGTTTTGGACATTGTCATTATAATTTATTAAAACGCAAAGGGTGACTGAGAAGTGATCGTTTCGGACAGGTGGCCGTTAGAGCAGGTTTGACTGTACTTTTATAATAATTGTTGTAGTGCATGATGGTGCGCAGATTGACCTTTGCAATGTTTTAGAACGAAATAAAAGAGTTGACTTATTTCTTCTGCTGACATAGATAAAACATAAGACCAGCGGTAAAAGTATTTCCTGAGTTACCCACTTTGCAACCGATACCATCGATATACACCAATGCTAAAGTTTTACAGTCCATGCCGGCTTTAAGCACGGTCATCGGGAGAAAGCATAAGCGTGCTTAATGCCGAAGCGTGCTTGAGTGCGAAGTAGACTTAATCCAGAGATTTTCATGTAGAAAATTTCCTGAGCTATTTCCCTTTGTTTGTAAATTGTGGTCGGGCAAAAGAGTGCCCTGTCATTTTTACCAGCCATGGCAGGTTTTTTTTGGTTTGTTTTGCTTTTCTTAATTTAGACGGCCACTCACGATACAGCACACTAGGCCTACACACTGCCTGTGTGTACCACTGCCTGCTGCGCCGTATCCATACATGTACCACTGCCTTCATCCCACCTCGCGCGTGATACATGATCAGGATTAATGGATAGCGAGGGGCAAAGGTGAAATAGCAGCCAGCCTCCCTTTCTCGTCTCCCCGACTCTCTTTGTATTTTTTTTTGTCGGTGTGTAGCTTTGCCCTAGGCTAGATCGTATGTCCACACGCGCGGCTGTGTGCATCTCTCTCTCTTCCTCTCCGCACGTGTGAGTGTGTACTGTGTGTCTCCGTCACTTGCGTTCTTTGTGTTTTTCTTAACACACTCCACTGCTGCGGTGAAGACTGTGTTCAAACGTCTATGGGTCATCATGAAAGTATTGATTGTCTTGTAAATGAAGCATGCGCGAAGCCGAAGTTACCGTGCTTAAAGGCGTGTAATTTATAAAGCAAAAATTCGGTAAGAGCCATTTAGTGTGCTGGAGTCCGAAACGTGCTTTATGCCGGAGTGCTTAAAGCCGGCACGGACTATTTCTAAAGACAGTTCCAGTTTTGCAAAATGTTCAGGAGAGCTAAAAAACACATCTTTGCCTCTCAACAGCCAGTCGCTTTGAATATCTTCAAAACACTTTCCTAGCCTTATTTATTAAGATATCGATACCAGACTAGCGCAGAAGTGTTTGCTGTGTTTTAAACTATGTGATGGAATCGTTAGCTCGATTTCGTCCAAAACTGGATATGCTGTCTTTTAAAATAAAACACCAGAATGCCCACTGAGAATACAGGTACAAACAAGTACTATTGGTTCCGGTTATCCGAGAGTTGGTTTGCTATTTGTATGCTATTAATTGTTCAGTACAAGTGAAAGGAGATCACAGTGTGTGTGTGTGTACATGTGTTCGAGTGTGTATGTGTGTGTGTATGGACTGGAACCTGGGAGTGCCATGGGACAGACATTTGTCCATTCACTCAGTGGAACACGACTGGATATAATTTTTTTTTTCAATCAAAAGCGAACTTCTGGCAGTGTTTGAATGTCACAGTCACACCCGTTATTTCTTGCAATATTTCATTTTTATTTAGCCTTTTTGTTGTTTAAAAAAATGGTACATTTTTAATGTCTGATATTTTAACCATGTACTTGTAATAAATTTTTTTTTGTTCTTCTAAATGTTTGTTGCTTTTTTTTCATATATTCTGGTTGGAAGAGTGGTTGGTTGGAGGGTGCTTTGATGTGGTTTGTGCCTTCCTTCTTATAAAAAATATATCATCTTTATTTCTCCTACTTCTTTTCTGTGTTTGTTACTCTCTTGTAACACCTCTAATCTTCAGCACCTGTATGGCGTTATTATGTTGCAAGTGTGTAAAACATGTCACGTAATAACATGAGTAGGGAGTACAATGTATGTCGCAAGTCTTTGTGTTGAGGGGGTGTTATTGTTATCTTGTACCTTGCTTTTTTCTCGTGAAATTTTCTCTTCCACCTTTGTTTCCAAAGCAAGTAGGTGGTTGGAGTTGGAGGGTGCAACTTGGTAGGTTCTACTTCTTTACTTTCCCTCTGTGTTTCTATCTTACTTTTTCCCAACACTAAATGACCGTTATTTTGCTGATGTGCTTCTCTTTACTCAAACAAAAAAACATTTCCCAAGCACAGCTTGGCTAACAGTAACTTGAGTAAGACATTCTTTGTATTTATTGAAAATCGGAGAATTTCACTGGCACTTGACAACTTGAAGCTTTCGGTTGAACCTACTTCTAGAGAACACCTGCATTACCAAAAGCTGGCGTCACAACATGGTTTTAATGTGAATTTGATTCCTGAATTCACCGGGTATAATATCGCATCTTTAAGAAAAAGTATTTTGTCTTCTTTTTCTCTGTTAATCTAGTTGCTAGTGGCCGGGTGCATGGTTAAAAACTGAAAATAATAATAACAAATGGTGTACACCTAAAATGCTATAACGCTGTAAACCTCAAAAGGTACCGAGACAGTACACATGATTAATGTTTCTGACTAAAGGAGCAATTGTGAAGTCACATGAGCCCTCCATCAGAGGAGATTCTACGGTTACAGACAAGGCGTAACTTTTGTCAAAAACTGAAATACAGAAAAGACTAAATGGGAGGACCAAATTGCAAGCTGGAAAAAAAAAACGAGAACAAGAAATGTGCACAACCCAGTGACTCAATCATTTATTCAAGTTCCGTTACAATGTCTGCTTTATTAAACAACACATAAACACAACAATTTCTTAGCTACCACACCCAGCACCATATTTGTTCTGTTACAAGATTTAAATTCTCTTGGTACTTGTGGATTGAGTACAACACTGCTTTAAGAACAAGCCCTTCTCACTGTCTTCTTACTTCATACTTCAAGTTATCACTATCCTGCTACCAAAAAAATTTCCTAATGAGATCTAGGCATATAAATAAAGCTGTCTTGGTAAAGCTTTATTTGGAAGTGGCCTTAAACCTTTCACTGCCAGACTTGCATTATAATCTTGTTAAAGAGCTGGTAGTCTCAGGTGAGTCAGTGGAGGTGCTAATATTAAAATAATACAATGTTCAGTTTCAGTTCTACAAGAGGTTGAACTCTCACATAGGGAGCAAGCACAAAAACTGTATGATAGATTATGGTGTACAATGTGAATTTTTTTCCATGCAGGATAATTTTATATTGTTAATAGTGATAGGTTACAGCCTCAATGTTTCAGAACTTGACCAATTAATTACTAATAAAACTGAACAAAAACAGTTTAGTTACAATGACTGTACCCATTCTGTACTTGCTGTGCGAATGGGGCAGTCAATCTCCTGGTATAACACTTCTTTAATTTATTCTAATTAACTAATTTTTATTTGTACAGAGAAGGACAAGGACAAAAGTTTCCATGAACCAAAGAAAGATCAGGTTCACTTGTACTGCTGGTACAGCAATGACACCAGAAATATTTCGGTCTGACAAATGATTGATTCTGTTTTTGAAATACAGAGGAGTCCACTTAAGCCGAACAAGGTTAAACTGAAAGGAGATAAAATCCCTCGTTTTCCTTCTATTTGAACAACCTCTTTAAACCGAAAACCAAGCGAAAGCAAAAAAAATCAGGCGGCCCCACATATTAAGGTAAAAAGCAGACTCTCCTATAATTCCAATTGTCAGGTATAAAATCTATTGCAAGAGTACGCACAAATCAAGCTCCAGAAACATGTTTGTTTCCGCTCCAGAAACATGTTTGTTTCCTCCTTGCTTGCTTCTGGCCTACTTTTTATATCAGTTCGAAAATTAAAAGTGAATTATAACGAACAACATGAACAAAAATTGAGACATAATATGTTGTATCTGCAATCAATATGTTGAGACTCTGATTAAAATAGAATTTTCAGCAGAAGCACACACTGTCTCACTAGCGCACTACAGGTGAACCTCTATTGCCCTAACACACATGCACATGCATAACTAACTTACACACAGGATAACAACAGTGTTTTCACACCTACACGAGCTCAAATCTCATAGCTTCATGCATCTCTGGTTTGGAGGAAAGGAAATGGATTGGAATGACTTTTGACTTTGTGTACCCTGTAACAATTATGAATTTTAAGTATTTTTCACAAACCAGTACCCCATAAGGACTTCATTTTTTCCATCAACATAATCAATGATATTGATAATGTGCCTGGACTGCCTTGACAAATTTAAAAGAAGAAAATATTCTTGAAACTACACAGACATACGAGTTTTACCCAGACTAACACTTGTACTCAAAATACAAACATTCATTTCCGTCAAAGAAGACACACAAGTACAAGGTAAAGAGAAGAAAGAGACCAAACCACAGACATAGCATGCTTTCACTTAAATATCTGCTTAGAGTTAGAGATAGATAAAAATAAAACTCAAGACTAGAGCTGCATGAATAATATTATTATGGTGTAACTCTTTAGTTCTAAAGCAGCTTGCTGCATTGAGTATAAAACTCAAGTTTATAGCACTAGTTATTATGGCATGAAACTAAGGCCAAGTACCTCATGCATCATGCTTCGGGTACACATCAAGCAAACTCACTCCCAGTCAATTTTCATGATCATGGCACAAAATGCACAACGGCAACTATGTGGATCACGAAACACAACAGAACTCACAACAACAACCGTGTGAATCATGATGTGCGACAGAATTCACAACTACAACTGTGTGAATCATGATGTGCAACAGAACTCACAACTACAACGGTGTGAATCTTCCTGCTCATGGCACAAAACTCACGACTAGAGCTGTGTGAATTATGTCATGCAATAAAACTCATGTCTAGAGTTTCATTCATCTCAGTTCAACTAGAGATGCATAGACTAAAGTACATATATACAAGTGCAAAATTCAAGTCACAAACTGCATGCACTATGGTGCAAAATGGAAGTCTAGAGCATTAGCAGACATTACTGTATACCCCACACCAAAAAACAATCTATTTAATCATGGCGTCAACCCACACCGGTACAATTTATTATGACATGGTTATCACTAAGTTAAAATATTTACATAGCAGCACAAAGGCAGACACAGATATATGGATATATAAGAATGGCTTCAGAGTCCCATAGGCTGATCTCTTTGTCGACTCACGGGCCTCCGTTCACAGAAAGTCAAGCCAGGTGTGTAAACAAAAAGAAACAGCAATCTCGCAACTGGCTGAACTCTTTGCTGACTTGTTAATGATGCCAGGGGCTTCCTCCGCTTTTTTCCCATTTTTATTTTAGGTGAGCCCAAGTCGGGCGTCTGGATTTCTGGACTACCCTGAAACTTCACGGTCCATTGTGACAGGGAAAACACATGAACTGACACACACACACAAATGAATAAATAAGTATTTAAAAAACATGAAATCTGGGTGATTCCTCAATTTTGAAAGTCTTGAAAGTGGTACGTCCTTTCATCACCCTCCCAGACAACAAAAATTCCAAATGTAGTATGATGAATGTTTTCTTGATAAGGAAAGCATCTCTTTCTTTTGCATTTGACTCATATTTTGCTGCCCACAAACAAGTATGTTTTTAGGAGTTTACCAAGAGTCAGCTGTATGCTACACAATCTAACCACAAGCACAGCAAAATGGTGAAAGAAGATTGTAGGCCTAATTAAATTCACACAACAGAAAATCTTTCTGAACTTAACCACTCACTGAGTGATGGAATCACTTTGCGATGTTTTTTCTGTTTTGTTTGTTTTCTACTTTTAGTAGACGTTTCACGGCGCTCGCAACTGTATAAGTCGGTGATGACGTTTGGATGTAAAAAAAAAAAAGGTGTGGGGAGCAGTATAAAAAGCTGTAGGCTGTAGGGCTATGAAAAAGTTGAAACACATATATGCATCCACAAGTAAAATATCTGCAATTTTAACAATATCATGACAGCCCATCCTCCCCTGTACACTCTACTCTGAGTATTCTGATATTCCAATCATCTGTTTACAAGTATTCACTTAGTAAAATCCTGCAAAAACTATCAACAGAATTTGTACGACAGGGCAGAACAAAAGTGCCGATCTACTGGAGACAATTTCCAAAATAAGACAACTAATTTCTTTTCATAAGTTACGATAAAATCATTGATATGTTTTGAACAACTGTTGATTAATAGAGGAATACATATTTAAAGTGGAATCTGCTTAAACTGAAGACAGTTAATCTGAAAACAGCGGTAAACCAAAAGAAAATAAAACCCCAGATTTTTTCTTCTATTTGAGCAGCATCTCTAAACCGAAAACTTGGCTAAACAGAAGAAAATCTGAAACTGATGGTCCCGCAGATTTAAGTTTAAGCCGACTCTACTGTATTTGTGTTTATCTTATTTTTAAAAATAAAAACATACGAAAGTATAGATTAAGGAAAAGATCCAGTTCTTCTCCTTTGTTTGATAAGGGGTTGGTGTTGATGGTCTTTATTTTCATTTACATAATATAAGAAAACTCCTGACCCACAATGTAGAATACATCGAGGAAGAGGCTGTAAATGGAAAACATGCTCACCAAATGCATTCTCTAATGTATATCTGTGTTTTATCTTTTTATTTAAAAAAAATAAAAACATATGAAAGTATGGATTAAGTATAAGATTCAGTTTTTCTCGTTAGTTTGATAAGGGGCTGGAGTTGAAGATCTCTATTTTAATTCATATAATATAAAAAAAAAAAAACAACCTCATAATTCTTAACCCACAATGCAGAATACATCGAGAAAGAGGCTGCAAATGGAAAACATGCTCACCACTTGCACTCAACCTAAAATGCCAAACTGACTCTGTTCTTTACTAAATCTTACATCTTGCACATACCGTCTCCCTCCCCCTCCACCCCATGAGGTGTGAGTATCATCCCCGCTTCTTACTTCTAGTCATTCTTTCATTTGTAAAAGTAAAGTTGGTCCCCCTGTTTTGAAAGTACTTGACCTAGTGCTCAGATCCAGGGTCAACATGGGAGTCACACTGGGGTTAGTGCTACATCTCACAGCAGCAGGAAACAGCTGGCTGTGATTGTTGATGGGCCCCAGGACTTTGGGCGGCTATACTTTACTTTTACCCTTTCATCAATACATAATACATTGTAACATTACTCAGAAGCATGAAGAACAAGACATAAAATTGCTTCTCAGAACTACCAAAACTTCACCACATCAAGTAGTAGGGAAGGAGAAGATGTTATCACAGGTTGCGTTTCTATGGAAAGGAGCAAAACATGATGTCATTTTGTCATGGAAATTATTTTTCTCCATTCATCAGGGTTATTTCAAATTCACTTTGGTACAAAAAAATAAAGACTCTCTCATCTGACTTGATGCACAGACTAGGTCTAAGATTCAATATGAAAACATTTATAACTAAACAAAAAAGATGATCATCCATTCACCAACAGGCTAGTGAAATTTATCATGCCATCTCACAACCTACTTCCAACAGGAAATATGTAGTTTAGGTATTGGATGAGGGTAAACGGAGCTCACCACTGGCTGGGGTCCTATTTCTGCTCTTTCTTTCTGTTGTTTCTGTCTTTCTTTCTTATTTTATGCTTTATTCCAGCACGTAAAGACCTAAAGTTATTGTGTCAAGCAGTCAAATGAAAAAACTCATATTAATATTCAGTCCTTTTCCACAGGACACAGCATCAGACCGAGCTGACCTGTGGTACAGAAATCTAGACAAACAAAATAGAAAGAGAGTACAAAAGTACAATGTACTTGATTTGTTGTCGGACCAAAAGAGAGGAGGACTGGACTGCGAAATGTTTTAAGGCTTCAATGACATAATTTTTAGATCATGTAGAAAGCACACTGCTTTGAACTCATCTGTTCAGAACTAATCACTCTGAAATATCTTTCCCATGTAGGAACTGAACTAACATCTATAGTGAGTTGCGCGAAAAATCAAACAGTTGGCCCCACTTAAGATATTCTTGGTTATTACAAGGTTTCGGCTATAGCAAGTGTATAATAAATCGCCCAGTCAGATCTCTTAAAAGTGGTCCAACCATTGACGAAATCCTACAACAAACAGACAATACAGTAGAAAAAATAACCAAATGAAGCAAAACAAGCCCACATGATAAATTTCACCAACATGACCCACACACAGTAGATCTAAGCTTATTGTGTACACATTTTAAGATGTGTCATACCTTGTGTGCAGGGGAGGGAAGTGGGAAGCTGGATTTCTTTGGTGTGCTTGCAAATCCATTGACATAGCATGACCTAGCAACTATGTCTGACACTACATCGTCATATTGTCTCCTCGTGAGGGTGAAAAGACTTGTTACGAGAATAATGACTATGAAAAGTAGGCACTGGGCGCTAGAACTACCAAAGATCTATGTGTGTTCTTTTCCCCAACACTGTAACTATTCGATTGTGAAGGGTCATTAGAGCATGGATATGAGCTCTATAAATGCAATTATTATTATCACAAGCAAAATCCCAGTTTGGAAAATATCTCTAATTACTATTGAAGCGAAAGCAGACTGTATAAAATATTTTCGACTTCATTGTATCAAAGTTATAAAATAATTTCTCTTTCTCTCTGTCCATCATTGTGATCCACTCTTTCAACCAGCCTCAGTGTCTCTATATGTAAGCTACATGACTACAGATGGTCTAGATTGCACTTTGTTTTTCGTGTTATCAGAAATTTTTAATATCATTCGGTTTCTGGGTGGGTCTTCAGGTTAGAAAACTCTGGCGTTAGTTTTATAAGTATATGCTTATAATTACCCATGCATCTCAAATTATGTCGAGTCAACCTGTGCGAGAGTCAGATACAAGAAAAAGCAAGACAAAGTTCCTAATGAATTAAAAAACACTATGGGAAAAGAAAGGAGAAATAACTGATGAATTAGTAGAGGACAATCTATGTAATAAAAACAATCTCATTCGTTAATCATCAGTTATGATGTAAATAAACTTGATCCCCTCTATAACAGAATTTATCTATATCAAGTATAGCAGGGACATCGAGTTGGTCCCGGCTGTCCAGTTATTGCCCGGGCCCACCGTATACCACATACACTGGTGTACATACACACAGTCATCACTGGCTAAAACTTCTCTTTTATAAAAAGACACAGCAAATGAAATCATAAGAGAAATGAACTAACACAAAGATGCTATATCACAAAACATACACAAATTTCATTTTAAAATTGTTCTTATTTTGTAAAGGAAGTAGCACTTCACAATTCAGAACCGCCTATTCTTAATAACCCTGGAAAATATTTCGAGAAGAAATTCCTTCAAATCAAAAGGAAACCATATATGCAATATTTGCCCAGTACAGAAAATTCATACATTCTACATGTAAATTACAAAAATGGAAAGAGAATAAATAAAAACGAACTTGTACTGATTACATAGTTTTGTAATGCCATTAAAATGTTATTGTCTACAAGAGAGAAAGACAAATTTTGATCTATCACAAACAAGATAAAAAGATATCACAAGATACACATTTTGATATTTTGTGGCCATATCCTTATTACAGCTTCCTTACAGCCATAATTGTCAGCACTAACAGTGATGCTGACAGAACACACACATATTATATCACACACATACATAACTTGTCACATGATAACGCCTCAGTACTTCAATCACTGCACAACATAATTACCAACACAATACATTGTCTGGTAAAAGTAACATATGACCTCCGATTTCGAACGGCTTGACCCAGTGTGTAACATCCATGGTTATAGTAAGGTTCTTGCTACATCTTACAGGAGAAGAAAACAGTAGGCTGTGATCGTCGAGATGCTTAAAGACAGTAGGAGGGTTATGCTTCACTATCCCCCACTATTTATCATGACTCAATGGGAAAGAAAAACGAAAAGCATGTGAGACCTTATGACATTCACTATAAAAAAAAGAAGAGGAACAGATGTTGTTTTTTTTTTAGCCCATCATGACCCCAACAAAAATCACCATCTTAATCCCTGTGACAGCCATTCTATGCAGGAGAGAAGAGAAAAATCAAAGCTCAGCTTAGAAAGTAAAGGAAGCTATCCCACTCCAGTCTGTCACAACTGAGCTAACAAAAGATACCATAAGCATTGCACATTGGACCAAGTCATCGCGATCAAATTTTTAAATTGATTTGCATTTTCAAAATAATATCACAAATAAATGACGGTACTGTTTATGAATGAAATCTATTTTTTTCTCATTTGTTTGAGAGGAGGAGGCGGAGTTGGGGGAGGGGGTGGAACATTTAAATGTGATGCAACACGGTGGAATCAGGCATTCGTCAATTTTGAGGTATTAAGAGTTATTGGTAATATCTTAAAACTTGCTTAATTTGCCTTACATTTGGGACAAAAATACCCTTCTAACTTGAATAGAATGTGAGATATTAGCAATTGAAGGAAGTGGGGTCGCCTGGTTTCAGGGGTAAAATTAGAGAGAAAATGGCTGCCAAAGTTCAGTCACTTCCTTATCTTGAGAGTCCTAGGAAACTGAAACTTTAATTTTTTGTGTGCCTTTGAGACGTTTTTCAAGTGATTTGCACACAGAAATATCTTTTTAAATGGACATAAAAGGCGTTGAGCCAAAAAGCACAAATTCGATAAAAATTGCCAAACAGAAGGAAAAGTGACAGTTTCTTCGATTTCCTTATTTTGACGAGCGCCTGATTATACCACGATGCCTCACAAATGTCCCCACAAAAGGAAATCCTGGTCCACACAACAAATGAATCAAGAAACAAATGTCAAATGAAAAACATGCACATGCATTCATACCACAAAATGCCAAACAATTGCTGTCAACTGTAACAGTTTTCACTGGTCTCAGGTCCCATCCCCTGGACTTAAAAATAAATATACGGAAAAAAAGATATTCATTTTTTTTCTCTCACTCTTGCAGATAATACATAATGTACTCTAATCTTCTAACAACATGACATTCACTCAAAACTCACAGAGTTGCACATTTTGGCAAAGTTAATAGAAGTACAGAAATGTTGACAAATGAGCTATAACAACTTCTCACAGGGCATTGCTATAAACATTACATCAGGCACAGGAAACAAAATCTTGAGTCTCACTACAAGATGAGGGTTTTATTGCTGCTGCGTTTGCAGAAATCTTCAGAAAGCGGGAATGAAATATTTTGGCATGTTTCCAGAAATGGCAACAGCAGATATTGGAAGACAAGCACATAAAAGAATTGGGAAACTGAAAAGGGACGGGTGGATTGTTAGACGAAATCTTGCAAGTGCTCCAGAATTTCTCGGAATACAATTTTATCTACAGAAAGGCAATGTGAATTCAGGAGCCTCATTGACGACACTAAGCCGTCAAATAAGAATGTACAAAAGAATCTTGTCAAGAAATCTGTAAGTCTTTGTCAAAGTGAAAATTATACTCAGTTTAATAACAAAAATCCAGAGAAAAAGAAGCAAAGCCCAAAAATACCCCCTCCAACAACAACCCTTATACTACTGTAAACAAGTAGCAAACACAGGCAAAAGTTGACATCCTCCCACATAGAAAGATAGAACCTAACTTGACTTTCTCACAAACTTTAAAGAAAAAAACACTAGGCTGCACTGTTAACCAAATTGTCAGCTTCAGTCTCACAACCAAATAGAATCCAAGTCTAAGTGCAGTTTAAACTATGTGAGCGGAGTAATATACATACAATCATACTTCGTCATGATAACTCTACCAGGTAAAGTAACTTAGTATTGAACTACATGTTTAGCTAAATGTGTGTGTCATTAAAATATGAACAAGAGCAAGGTGAAGAGAGATCGTATTCAAACAAATATGGCACAATTCTCATGCTACTTAAACCTTACACACTACTATAACGTAATTCTTACAGAATGTATTGTCCATCACTGTCAACAATGGAGTTAACCATCGTTTCTCAGGTATCTCTGCGAACACCCCCTGACCTCATGCTGAACTTCAACATCTTCAGTCAGTACCAGGCATTAAACCATGCGGGCTGTTTACAGAGATAAATATATAAAGCATAATAATCTGTGAACATGCAAAGAACCCTCAACAGTTCATGAAACAATAGACACTACTGAATATAGTGAGTTCAGGATCACCCTCTGGGGAGCTAAATGAGGAAAATGCTCAAAAAAGACACAAAGTCTCTCATTTGATTCATAAACCTTTTTTTAACGATAGCAATAACATTTTAGCACCTACGTTATGTCAATAGTAATGATTTAAAATTGCAAACACAAATATTCAACAGGAAAACAAACTGCATGCAAAATCATTCTTCGTTAAGCCACAGAAACAAGAAAAGTGACCGCATGCTTAAAAACAACCACAACCATGAATGCACAACTTCCACTCACATAAAAGAACACAAAGACAGAGAGACATTATGCCTCCACGACAGATCATTCCTTAAGACACAAAGATACTTTTGATCACACAACTCCTTACTCAAAATTAGAAGAAAAATCCAAATATGCTTGCATCGTCCATGTATAAAAAATTATGCAAAATTTAGTTGAGCTGCCCATTTGCATGACTATTTGGCTGTTCAATAAGCTGAAGTCATAACTATTCAGAATGACAGCAGGAATTACTAACATGGTACAATAAACATGAGTCTTTTCTTCAGCTAGGCAGAATCCAATACATTTGAATGACCACAATGGTGTTTATAAGTCTGTATAGAGACTCGACGGCGTCAGGTGCAAACTAGCCAAGTCTAAGATATCCCTATTTTACTTTTAAAAACGTCTGTTTCCCTTAAGAGATCTATGAGATGGACTAAAATCTAGTTTAAGGAAACACCCTCATAACTTTTACATTGCCGACTCAGTTTTTTGCTGCACCTGAAAATTTATCTGACATCAACTTGGCAAGTTTGTGCCAGACACCACTGGTGTATAATCCTCGTAAACGGTTGCCAGCCATGCTTCATCAATGACAGCTCTGTATAGTTTGTATCTCCACTAGAATCCAACACATCTGATGGCATACTATGAGTTTTAAAAGTCTGTGCCAAGGTTTATATAAAATCAACATAACTAATTGCTGGCCATACGTCATCAATTGAAACTCTGTATAGTTTGTCTCTCTACAAGTCGTCGGAAGAGGCCGTCGGAGAGGTCCATGAGCTGCGAGTAGCTGCCGTTCTCCACCACTTTGCCCTGGTCAACCACCGCGATCTGGTCAGCTGACTTTATGGTGGACAAGCGGTGAGCAATGGTCAGCACTGTCCGGCCCTGCATCAGACGCTCCAGGGCTTCTTGAACCAGATGCTCGCTTTCTGCATCCAAGGCGCTGAAAATAAAAAAAAAGAAACAAAAATTTTCCACCACTTCTTTTTGAGGTGATGCATTTGGCAACAAAACAACCTTTGTTTCAGACACATTTAATTTTTTTATTTGATTTTTTTCATTTTAAGTTTCTTTCATGGTAACAAAGGTCATTTCAGGGGCAGGACTAAAGAACTTATTTTGTTTTAGTAAGAGTTTTGCAGCACTTACAAAACAATTAGGTCATATAAATGCGAAAGATTAAAGGCGTTACAATAGAGAAACAAACACAAAAAAAGGAGGAGAAACAAGAATGACAGCTGTTTGATAGGAAAGAAGGAGCAAACCACACCAGAGCACTCACCAACCACCCACGACTAGAGAAAATGAGTTCTTTTTCAGCAGAGAGGGATACACTTCACACAACATATCATACAGAGAATAGTTGTTGGTGAAACAAACAGAACAATGTCATGGTATAAAACAGAAGAGAAGAATACAATGAGAAAAACTTTATGGTTCTCTGAATAAGAATTATACGGTTCGTCTATTCTAATATGAACATTACCAGAATTTTTTTTTAAATACGTCAAAATGGTATGAAACATAAAACAAAATCAATTTTGCAAACGATAGCCACTTAATCACTGTACTGAAGATGACAGAATTAGGTAGGCTCCATCTCATCAGTTTGAACATTGAGTACTCTACAGAACTACAAACACAGAAATATGAAACAAAAAACAGCACAGGTTCACAAAAAAACAGCACAGGGTGACAGAAAGACAGCAAAGAGTGACAAGGAATCTATCTTTCCATCCTCTCACCTTGTGGCTTCATCTAAAATTAAGATCTTCGGGTTCTGCAGAGCAAAAATAAAAACATTTTTAAAAATTGAGTGTGACTGAAATCTAACAGACATGACAACAGAGTATGGGACTTGTCCTCAGAGTTATAAAAAGAGTAATGCTTCTTAAACTAACACCATTATACAGCGGCGGTAGTCTCTTTTTACTACAACTGAGTAAGCAGACAAAACCATTTTCCCATTTGCTTTGCATGCTTTTAGGAAAGTTCTTTTTCTCCACTGCTTTACTGACCTCAGATTTTGATCACTTGACAAAATGTCAAATCGTAAACAACCTCCAACAATATTCCAAGGACAGGAAGGGTTTATATGAGCTGTTGGTTAAAAAAAAATTAAGGAGAGAAAAGGAATCTTCTTTCGACAGGTACTATAAGCCATAATGTAGTCAAAGTCATACACAATTTTGTAAGTCATTATTTTTGTTGTTTCAAGAAAATGCAAAACAACATTGCTTTTTTAAGTCCATTGTGTATCTTGAGCAAAAATGAAAGTCTTTCCATAAATTAAATTTTTAGTTCATAAAACAAACACCTGCTATATTGAGAATACAAAATAAATATACTGTATTATTTTTAACTATACTACATGTTATAACTAGAAAACTGTTACAAAAGGAACTCTGCAATTTTGTTATGCCACGTGATTCTTCAAAAACTAACTGAGCACTGTAGATCTATCCACAGTGCACTGATACTGCTCCTTATAACAACAGACGACACTCTGACAATTGTCCACATCACAAGCTGTGCTCGGTCTAGTCTGACTTTACCTTGAGTATTGCTCGAGCTATCGCGATTCTTTGTCTCTGTCCACCTGTAGGGATGACAAAACAGAGTGTGAGGTGAGTCAGCACTACAGAGACCGCATGTACTTTCAAAACAGATTGAAAAGAAGCTAAAGGAACACACAACAACAGAGCGTCCAACAACCACCCGCACAACTTTAAGATAAAAGTAAAGTATAACATCACAATCCCACCCCCAATCCCCTATATCTTATAGCATCATAATGACCACAGCCAGCTGTGTACAGTTCTTGTAAAACACAGCACCAACCCCACTGTGACCCCCTCACTGACCCTGGATGTGAGCAAATCAATTTCAATAAATGTACACGTTGACTTTGGCTGATAGCCAGGTTTGCAAATGTTGGTCACTGCAGAGGTCATGGCATTAATTTGAATTTTTATTCACAAAATATAAGACATGATAAATATATCAACCCCCCCCCCCCTGGAAATTATTTTGATAGTTAAACTCTTTGAACCCTGGGCTCCTCAGTAATTTCATTGATTTTTTAGGTATACTTTTCTACAGCTCATTTTAGGGTTGATCTTATCTATTTATCTCATTTTTTTGGTTTTAATACTGCTATGCTGGTATATATTGATGCAGCTGTTTTGTATTTGTATTTCTGTAAACACATATTTAGGTGGACCTGTCCTATATTTCAATACCCCAGGGTATTTGTTGCATTGCGTTCATACCAATATTTTGAACAGAGGGTTCAAACGGTTGAGGAGATAGGCTGCTTCAACCTTGCCTTCAAAGCTAACCTAGATTTTATGGGATACATCCCATCACAAAGTCTGAAACACTCAACAGAAGATTCTCCCCACGCACAAAGCACACCGACTGACTCTGCCTGAAAGACACATCACACCACAGACACTTGTGACCTTTATTGTTATTCTTATTCAAATCCTCAACAATCTTGTTACAGTTATTGAAGAAAATTCTTCAGTACTACAACAGACCTGATAGCATAAGTCCCCTCTCCCCAACCAAGGTGTCAAAACCATCTGGAAAACTGCTGACAAAATTGAAGGCATTGGCTTTGCGTGCTGCATCCAGTATGTCTTCCCTGGACACTGACAAAGGATCGTCTGAACCGTAAGCAATATTCTCCGCCACTGTTGTGGAAAACAGGATGGGCTCCTGAGGACAGAAGGATGGCATTTCATGGACATGACTTTATCATGTAGGGCTCATAGATCTTGCTGTTGAGTGGGGATATGTGCTATACAAATGCTATTTTTATCATTATTATTTATTCTAAAGCCAAGGGAAGTCCAAGTTTTCTGAGCCAAGATATCAACAAAGAAATATAGAGACATTTATGATATTTCAAATCGTGAAAAGTTCCCCCAGTGTATAAACGGGGAAAGACTGTCAGAGAAAAAAATTGAAATGAAATAATGAGAGCTCTCTATGAGCAGAAATTTATAAAAAAAACACCCACAAAAAACAAACCACTGAACCCCCTACAATCAACATTTAAACAACACTTTACTCTACCTCTGAACTCTCAAAATGAAGAAAAAGCTATTTTTCTAGAAGCTGTCTGAGCCTCTTCAGTATCATCCAAAAAAAGCTTTGTCTTTCTATAGTGGTAAAGGTGAACCTAACAATAAGTCAGCAAAATAACAGCCATATTTCCCAAGAAACACGTCATAACAGACGCACTGAAAAGAAGGAGAAAGACCAGACAAAAGGAGACATCTATTTGCGGATTGCGAGAAGTAACTCATTTTGTCAACATCCTCATTTATTCTACAGTAATTATAAATGAGGGGTCTGTAAAGGGATTTCAACCACACATCCACCGTGTTATGCTGTAAACATATTATACCTGGTAGAAATAGGTCTACTCTTTTTTTGTTCTAAAACCCTGTGTCCCCTTACTCATTACCTGGCTGACTGTGCTGATGTGAGATCTCAGCCAGTGAGGGTCAACCTCTTGGATGCTCTGCCCATCTAGGGTAATGTTACCTGCAGGGGCAAGGAGACACAAAAATAAGCAAGCATGTGACGCCATGGGAGGGAGAAAAGTTAAAGTTTGAGTATGACTAATTAAAGAGAAGCGTATCGACACAATATTGATCACTTGACATTAATACTGAGAAAAAGCTAAACACACAGAAGTATTTTTTAAAAAAGAAGTAAAGAAGTACAACTTACCAGTTGCGCCCTCCAATCGACCACCCAACCGTTTCAGTTTCAGACACGGAACGAGCATTTCAGAGCAAAGACACAACTCTCAACATGCACACAAACCTAACTTTAGAGATCATATGAAGAAAACGGCGTCTATAGAAATCTACAAATTTAACCCCAAGTTGATTTTCATCCAATATTTCTATTTATGGATTGCGAGCAGTAACTCATTTTGCCAGCATGCTTCACATTTATTCTACACAGTAATTGTAAATGAGTGGTCTGTAGAAGGATTGATGAATCTATTTTGCCTGCATGTGTGTAGGAGAGCAGGAATCCTTTTGCACACAAAAATTGGGGCACAGTCATAGGTGTCTGTCTTGTTGAATTAGCATAGAAAGATAAGCACGCATAAAAACATGTGGAGTCAGAGGTCTAGGGTGAGGCTGTTTGGCTCATAACCGAAAGGTAAAGGATTCGAACTCCATCAACCCGATGACATATTCTTGGCAAAGGCATTTTACAATATTTTTTCTCACTTTTTGTTTCCTGACTATCCTTCCGAGCTCCTCATTCCTCATGTCTAAGTGGGTCAATTTCTTCTATAATTTCATTGGACGAACATCAAGAGCTACCAACTTGGCATGTTTTGAATGAGACGTATGCCTCGATTACGAACCAATGCAGGCGGTTCTAGAAGAAGGCCACAAACGCACACAAACTCAAGCAGACTGACGCACACACACTTGACATGTGTGAATGGGGATCCGAATCGGGACCCGAATGACACATAAGAGGATGCGCGCTGCGCGTGTGCTGAGCCAGGGGCTATACTGATTCGGGACCAAAACGTAGGCGAGGTGCCGAAATAGGCTTATCGGGTGACATAAACCCAGCTCCCACAGGATGAGGGTTAAAGAGAAGCATATCAACACAATATTGATCACTTGACATTAATACTGAGAAAAAGCTAAACACACAGAAGTATTTTTTCAAAATAAGTAAAAAAGTACAACTTAACAGTTACACCCTTCAATCGACCACCCAACTGTTTCAGGTTCAGACACGGAACGAGCATTTCAGAGCAAAGACACAACTCCCAACATGCACACAAACCCAACTTTAGAGATCATATGAAGAAAACAACATCTATAGAAACCTACAAATTTAAACCTGAGTTGATTTTCATCCGATATTTCTATTTACGGATTGCGAGCAGCAACTCATTTTGCTAGCATGTTTCACATTTATTCTACACAATAATAGTAAATGAGTGGCCAGTAGAAGGATAGATGAATCTATTTTGCCTACATGTGTGTAGGAGAGGAGGAACCCTTTTGACAAAAAAAATTGGGGCACAGTCATAGGTGTCTGTCTTGTTGAATTAGCATAGAAAGATAAGCATGCATAAAACATGTGTGGAGTCAGTGGTCTAGGGGGAGGCTGTTTGGCTCATAACCGAAAGGTAAAGGATTCGAACTCCATCAACCCGACGACGTATTCTTGGGAAAGGCATTTTACAATATTTTTTCTCACTTCACCAAGGTTGGAATGGGTACCTGGCTATAGGTGGTGAAAGATCTGCTCAGAATGTCAGTGTTTGTGCTGTACGCTTTCCGGGAAGCTAAAAATGTTTCTGAGCGTTCTCGAGTCTGCTGGGGTAATAATGGATGTAAAGCACATAGAGCATACTGTTGAGCAAGGATATGTGCCGTATAACTGCAATATTTATTGTGAAACATGACCATTTTGAGTTCTTCCACGTTGTATGTAAGAGTGCAGAAGCACTTCAGATCGTAAAAATTAAGAAGAGGGTAAACACTTTTTGCCTAGTTGAATTAGCGTAAGCATATATAAAACATGACTGAGCACATGAGAGCAGAAACCCTTTGTTACTCAAAATCTTGAGAAGAGTCGAGGGTACCTGGATGAATAAGAAAAAAAAAAAGAAAGGCATACTTAAAACAAGACCACATTACATTCACGGACTCACCATGACTGGGATCGTAGAAGCGTAACAACAAAGAGCCCAACGTCGATTTTCCAGAGCCACTAGGCCCAACCACAGCAGTTATAGAGCCGGCTGGAATGTGAAGGTCAAGGTCAGAGAAGATCTGAGCTTCAGGTCTTGACGGATATGAAAAAGTCACTCCATGAAATCGGATGTCTCCCTCGAGCTGAGCAGGCTGCGATAATGACTTGACCACATGATCCAGTTCTGGTGACAGAGATAAAAAGAGTTTATAGAATTATAAAACAAAATTATACTCTCTTTTTATGCCTAAAATTTCTCAGGAGACAAGAGATAGAAAACTCTGATTGAAAATATGCCATGTCCTTATCAACACAATAAAGTTCATTTGTGAGGCGTCATGGTGAAATCAGGCACTCGTGAAAACAAAGAAATGGAAGATATCTGCATTTTTTCCCGAATTTTCTTGTTTTGGCTTAACGTTTTTATGTCCTTTCAAAAACGCAATTCTGGGTGAATGTTAAGAAAATACGTTCATTAAAAGCACAAAAAATGTACATTTTCAGTTTCTAAGGCTCTTTCGCTTAGGAAACCATCAACCTTTGTGAGCCATTTTCTTGGTAACTTTACCTCTGAAACCAGGTGATATCTCGACTTCTATTGAAGGTAGATGAGTAATTCTTTATTCGAACGCAAGACAAACAAGCAGGCTTAAAGATGATACCAATAACTTCATATGCTCAAATATTGACGAGCGCCTGATTCCACCACGTCAAGACACGTTTATGAGTGAGGTTGTTTCAGCTTGAACTGAAAAGGATGCAGCATTCCAGGGGAGAAAGGGTAATACTCAATAAAATAGAACACCCTAGTTGAAATTCAAACTTGCATCTTTTGCATTCGTTGATGGATTGCTTAACTGTAACACCACATATTGTCGGCCTTGTGATAAAACCAACTAACCCCAGCGAGGTAAATTTTACAGGAGAAGGAAAAAACTGTTTTATTTCAAAACAAAGGC